ACACGGGCAGGGCCTCGGGCCTGTTTTAGGCTTCTCCTTATTTTTATATTTTAGACATCCATCAAGTAGTGATGAAAAAGATTGCCGCGCTGGTGGAAACTACACAAGACCGAGCTACCGTGACTGTCAAGAGCTGCTCGACGGTGTTTAGTGTCCAGCAGCAGCATGTATGGTGCGTGCCGTCAGCGCAGCTGTTCAAATGCACGCAATAGGCTTAAGTTTGCCGCAAAGCATCGGCAAAAGTAATTACCATAAATGCGTCAGGGGGAAACAGTAAGGAGATATTTGAATTATTTACTAATAAACTAGTATTTTCTGAGTCGGTGTAGCAAGGATGAAGTTGTCGATCCTGACTCGCCATCTCCTCATTAGACATGCCTTTAGAGAGTAGTGCGTCTTTACGGATTATGATCATAATGAAAGAGTTTTTGTTTTGGATTTGTTTTATTTCGTTAAGTAGTAATTTAAAGCTTTCTATAGGTATATTTATCATGTCTGTGAGGCATGTATTCGCTGAGTTTCTTCCTGTTGAAGAAGAGACGGCAGAAAGCGCATCATGTTTGATTTCTTTATTTTATAAAAGCACAACGTTTTGTTGATATTGTGAGTGCACACAAATAAAAGACCCTTTACAGTTACGAATGATGTATTACTCTTACCTTTATGAGCAAAAATGACTGCGTATTTAAGTTGTTTCCACTGTTAGAAAAAAATGCAAGTGATCACGCTGGCACCTCTGTGTCCGCAGAGCGTGCTTCAGTTTACACTCTCCACACAAACGATTGGAAATGCGTCTTAACAGCGCACATTTATATAGGTTAAACATTTAAACTAACATTGTGATATGCTTGAACTGTTTTACGTATATCTATATATGTTATTTTAGGCAAGTCGTGATGATTTGAGAAGGCTAAATTGATCAAACATATGATCAACTCATTGTCTGCCGCTGACCGCTTGGTCATTACTTTAAAAAAAAACGTATATTTAACGAACAAAAAAAATGCTCCAAACGTTTTTCTAAATTAACTTTATAAAAAAAGGAAATGAAATATAATCACTTTTCCATTACATATACAATTTAACTATTTTAATAGCTGAAACAGTAGTATAAGCTTTTTTGGGAGAAGGGGAAAAAGACTGGCTAGGGCATATATTTGAGGCCCGTGCAGGGCTCTAATCCACTTCATCCAACGCTGTTTTGTTCTCTGTTGTTTTCATCTGTGAG